GCTGCATTTATGTGATGCATATGCATTACAATTAGACGAGTCCACTGACGTTGTAGGTCTTGCAGTTCTGCTTGTATTTGTCCGTTATGATTTTAATAGTTCTATTGAAGAAGACTTACTTTTATGTGAATTTTTGCAAACCAATACAACTGGTGAGAATATATTCAATTGTATCAATAACTTTCTGAAAACACATCAAATAAGCTGGGAAAAATGTGTTGATGTGTGCAGTGATGGTGCCAAAGCAATGGTAGGAACAGTAGCTGGCGCTGTAACACGAATAAAAAATGTAGCACCCAACTGCACCAGCAGTCACTGCATTCTCCACAGACACGCTCTGGTAGTTAAGAATATTTCTCCCTGTCTTAAAAATGTGTTGGACGAAGCAGTACAGATTATTAATTATATAAAAACTCGACCATGACAATCAAGACTGTTCAAAATTATGTGTGAAGATATGGGTAGTCAGCACACAGCCCTGCTTCTACATACAGAAGTCAGGTGGCTATCACGAGGAAAAGTGCTGGTTAGATTATCTGAATTGCGTCATGAGCTCTCCGCAAATCTGATGGATCACAAATTCCAACTGTCTGATCATTTAACAGACTTTTTGTGGTTATCGAGAGTTGCGTATCTTGCAGACATCTTTACAAAACTAAATGAAGTAAATCTGTCACTGCAAGGAAAGAATGTAAATATTTTTAATGCGAAAGACAAAATTTTGTCATTGTCACGGAAGCTACAGTTTTGGATCTCATCTGTAGGACGAAATGATTTGGATTGCTTACCAACTCTAAATGATTTCCTTGAAGAAAATGGATACAAACTTGATGAAGATATTCGCAGCGACATTGCAGATCATCTCCGCGATTTATACACGAACATCATTAAGTATTTTCCAAACATCAATGACAACAATAACTGGATTCGAAATCCATTAAGTTTAACAGAAAAGCCAGTCAGTTTTTCTACACAAGATTATGAAAACCTAATTGAAATCGCTTCAGATGGCCAATTAATACAAAAATTTAAAGAAGTTTCTCTGATTACATTTGAGTGACTTATGTCAAAGTCAAGAATATTCATCTTTATCAAGACGCGCAATTCGTCAGCTGTTACCCTTTGCCAGTACATACTTGTGCGAAACTGGGTTCTCGAACTATGCAGCAATGAAAACGAAATACAGAAATCGACTGAATGCTGCACCAGATATGCGAATCCAACTTTCTAGTATTAAACCAAATATAAAAAGAATTTGCCAAGAAAAGAAGAGAAACCACTCTTCACATTGAAAACTATGAATATAATTAATATTACTTGATAGTTTTATTTTTTGTACATATTTAATATGATTTTTGTTGAATATAAATGAATGGTGTTATATTCAATATGTTGAATTTAAATGAATGGTGATGTCATGACCGTATTTAGCTATTTAGCATCTTATTACTACCAATTGTGGTGTACTGGGTGTGTGTGTGTGTGTTTGTTTTTTTTTGCTCGACAAACTTAATCCCTGGCTAGGGGGTTCCTTGAAATTTTTCTGAGTTTGAAAGGGTTCCGTGGTCAAAAAAAATTGGGAAACACTGGTTTAGAGGGAAAACTGCCTCCAGTCCTTAGGTTCCCCACCCCTGAACTACAGAATTGTACCTTTGCCTATTAAAAAGATAAAGTACTCACTTTAGGTGCTCCATCCTTTTGAATGCCTACATCATTAGTCGCAATCCCTTTCACACTGCCATCTTCATGAAAAAGAACCTTTGGACATATTCAAACAATTATTTTAATGACTTGTCATATTAACTCCATTTCTAAAATTATTTTCCAATGCAGAGAACATGGAGGTTAAAAAACGCAAGCCTTTTAACTAAGGGCTCAATCTTGAAAACAACGGGTTTAATCATGTTAATTAAATGCTTTGCTGGACTGGAGATAGAGTATTCTAGAATTCGCAGAAGTGAGCCCTAATATTTCAAGCATTTCTGTGTAAGATGGGCTTGTCTCACCCACATAAATAGTTATGTTATTACCTCAGCTGCTGCATAGCCTGGATACACCTCAACACCCAAAGCTTCTGCTTGCTCACCCAGCCAATTCACAAAGTGCCCCAGGCGCACAATATAATTCCCATGATTAGTCATTGGAAGGCCTGGGCAAAAGGGAGAAGTAGACCACAATCTATTCAGGTTTATGAATTAAAGAATATATCTATCTATCTATCTATATACACACACATATAGGAGATGTACGTGCTTAAAATGTAATACTTTAAAAACACACACGTCTGATTCAATACAATATATTAGTATCACTTTGCTATGGTAGTTGTGGGAATTTTAATATGTACAACCTACCTACTTTTATGGCCCTCATCACTATAGTTTATTACATTGTGCACAAGGCTGCTAAAAAGCAGCTTTTGATAATTATATTTAACCTTAGGCCTATTTTTTCAATAAGTCTTCTAGCTTTTCCACAACCTATACCTGGAAGAATTGGCACTGGAATTCTGGAATTCTTTGTTAAAATCCCAAATCTGTCTTCAGTTACAGGAGTCTGAAGTGGAGCCTAAATAATAAGAAAAATCATAATTGTAAGCAATGTTTGTTGTCAGTCAAGGAACTAATTCAAAATAAAGTGTAGTATGAGACTGAGCTACAATGGTGTTGTGAGAAGAACAGTGCAATAGGCAGAACAATATTCAGGTAAAAAGTTAACACAATTAACACTTCAGTTATTGGAACCGGCGTAGTGATTTTTTTTCCAAACAGTTCCTTTCTTACCCAACAGCTTTTTATACAACAAACAAAGGAAACAACTGTACAGTGAAAAAAATGTATTTATCAATCATCTACATTATTTAGAAATATATAAAGGTATAGCATAGAACTTGATAGAGAGTTTTGTTTCAAGGTAGAGATAAATCATAATTCAGCATTCATACCCCTCGCTCCTTCCAGTCCGGTAAGAGTTCTTCCAAAGCATGTGGCTCAAGACAAGCACCAGAAAGTGTATGTGCACCAATCTGAGCAGCCTTTTCCACCAGGCAAACCCGAATTTCTTTGCCATGCTCACTGGCCAACTGTTTGAGTCGAATAGCTGCAGAAAGACCTGCAGGACCTGCTCCAACTATGACAACATCTGCTTCTTCTGCAAATCTTTCCATGTTCACCCCTTTAACAGAGCAAAGTAGGATTTACCAAAACGTGTCCAACAATACATCTCTCTCCCTCTCTTTCTGAAGTTTATCGTTTTGCTGTGTCACATCAATCGTCAAGTATCAAAATACTATCACCTTGGACTAAGGTGGGGCTAATATTCAATAGACGTGAACACTGAATATACATGAACAACATTTTAATTGTGCTTTTGCCTAACACTTGGAACATAAAACCTCTGCTAATAAAGAGAACACAGAAAGAACTTTAGATTTTATCTCCAGTGCTTGTGCCATCCTAGAATGCTAAAAAGAAGGGCCCAGCTCTAAATTTACACCTCAGATATAACTGATACAGCTCAGAAAGAAAGAGGGGAGAGAAGTGCCACTGAGCAACCTTGATGGTCCTCCTTCTTTCTTAATGATGGAAAAGGTGGTCCACAAGCACTGTTCTGGCCAGAGGAATTGCTGGGACATAAAGATGACCCAGTCACACATCCCTTTTTTTAAGGAGCTACTGAGATTAGTAAATTTATAAATTAAAATAGTATAAATAGCTTATTTGCCCTACTTCATCATGATCAACGCATAATTCTATGAGACCCCATTGCAAAAACTAGAAAATACATATCCTGACTGCAATAAAGTAATAAGGTAAGGGTTAACTTTTTACTATGTATACCTATAGTCAGGCCTGCCGACGGGGAAGTGGGTGGGAACTGCCCTATGACCCAGTGATATAAAAGGACTACTATGGCAGCGGCTGGAGCACCGGATCCTTTAAATTGCTGCCGAACCCGTTTCTGGGTAGCACTGAGGGCTGCCTAACTCCAGCCCTATCCCTTCCATGCAAGAACCCACCTCCCACATTACCCAGGGGCCTAGTGAGGCTGTGGGCCCTTCAGTCTATAGATACAAGATGTAGTTATAGAGATGTTAGCATGTAATCATTTACACAATTAACAGATAACCCCGGGTTTATCAATTAATCCTAACAACCACACTCCTCTGTATCAGCGGAGTTGAGGGGGGGGAGGAAGAAAGCAGGTGAGAGCTGGTACTTAAAGCTATCTCCCCACGACCACTGGCTCCCGTCTCCCCTGTGTGTAAACATGTAACCACTAAAAATTCCAGTGGTTTCATGTTTGCAGAAATACTCATTAGTTAACATCCCTAGTAGTTACATATTTGCATCCTGAAGTCTCATACTTTCTTTAGTTTAATTAGGAGCAAATTTTTCCACTTACCTTCCCATCGTTTGTCTTTGTTTCGAGAATGAATAGTATAATGTGTAGTGATGCGAGGCACAGAGGAAGTAGAAGCCCATCTTGCAATACACAATGGCAGTAGACAGTCTTTCTTTACCAACTTTAACACATGCGAACAATGATGTGCTGTAAAAAAAGGATAACTATGTTAGCTGAATCATTTAACTATTAACACAGCTAGCAGTTAACAGTAAGGGCTTGCATCTACATTTTGTTTTAAATCTGGAGATTACTTAATAGAGAAAAATCCTGAATAAATTAATAAACCACGCCTCTACTCTGTTTCAGGATTAAAGGAAGTTGATTGCAGGAGGCATCATTCCACCTTACACATGATATATTTTATACCATCACATTCCCATGCTCAAGAAATAGTAGTAGAAAAACAGTGCTCTCTACATGGAAAAAAACCATAACAGTTGTTAACATTACTTTAAGGCTATGTCTACATTGTGCTTTTGTCTGCCACGGGTGTGGAAAAAACCCACATACCCCCAGCTGATGAAAGTTTTACTGAAAAAAGTACAAGTGTGTACAGCGCTTTGTCTGTGGGAGATGCTCTCCAGCTGACAAAGCTACCATTACTCAGTAGGTGTGGTTTGTTTTGCTGGTAAGAAATCTCTCTCCTGCCAACAATGAGAGGCTACACAAGAGACCTTACTGTTATGCTTCTGTTAGGTACACAATGTAGACATAGCCTTAGTTTCAGCTGTTGTATTTGGGATATTTACCCTTCTAGCACCCAGCATATTTATTTTCTGTTTTGCTAGTTTTCTCCTATTTTCTAGTTCCCTTTACTCCTTGCACAGTTAGCCTTGTACCGGTTCTTAGAAATTTTAAAGAAAAGCAAGTGGGGGGGGGGGGGGGGGGGGGAGAGGAGGTGGGGGGGGGGGGGGGGGAGAGAGAGAGAGAGAGAAAATTTCTATGGCTGCTGTATATTGGAGAGTTGGGGGATCAGGAAGATTAATTTAATATTAAAATTGAGTCTAGGATAATATTTTAGAGGGTCCACCATCATAATACATAGGCATCAAAATTAGGATTTATTCTTGTACCTAGTACTCCATAATATACCTCGTTTTTGCCACCCTTCATTTTGGTAACTAAAGTTGAATTTTTAAATGCTTAAAATATACAGATGTGACCAGTTCTGCTTTAGCTGAGACACTAAAACATAATTCAGGAAAAGAATAAATTTGAAACACAAGTTAAAATAATAGAAAAATAGCCATCAAATTTCAGTGTCAACTAGCCTATCATGTAAGGACAAACAGTAATAGTTGCTTGGTCCTTAAAAGAAAGCTGAACTAGGCTAGAGCTCACGATAATCTTAACTCTGAAAAACTAGTCTAAGTACAGGGAAGGGCTATGCAACTTTCCCTATGTTGCTCAACCAACTCAAAGTACAACTAATCCCTGGCTAGTCGTCTTCTTGGCCTTTTTTACCAGAACTTTCAACTGTCTTTGTTTAGTTCTGTGAGACAAGAACCTTAGTCACTCAGAAAAAGCTAGGATTGTTTCTATTTTTACTACTACTACAATTAATAGGGAGATTGGCACATTCACTAATCTTTGAAACCAGATTTTTTATTCAATATAATCTATATCTAATCTATATATTTTTACTTGAAGTTATTATCTGTACCACAAAATTATGACTTCACAAACCCAGAATACATTATATAGCAGCAGAATTTTTCCCACGTTTTCATTTACCAGAGTCATGAACAACACTGCAAGCATAATCACATACACAGATCATGATGCAGACCATGTCAAAATGAAGAAGTCTAAACTATACCTTTTATCAGTTTTCAAAGTGAATCTATTTCCTTGTGTGTTCTTTTTATCCAAATGCTTTGGTTTCCCCCCCATCTTTCTGATTAAAACAAACAGTCTTCACAGACCCCACAATCTGTCCTAACAAAAATAAGTCCTAAGAAAAATGGTATACACATACAAGAGAACACATTGTAAAGAAACATTTTAATTTCAAACTTTAAAAGACCTATAGTAAACATCAATGTACAAACAAAAGATGATTACTAAAATGTAATACACCTTCACTGTGCATGTAAATTTGTTTCATATTGCACCTCAACATACATTAGTGAACATTAGATGGGCACCTAGTCCTTGGTAGTGGGCCTAAACCAGGCTTTGGAAAAATATGTCCTGCGGGCCGAATGTGGCCCGTGGAGGCAGCAGGGAACCCCAGACAGGCTCCCTTGCTTGCCCTGCCACCACGCACGCCATGTAGAAATGTGGCTGCAGGGCTCCATTTCTGTTTTAAAACTTTGGGGGGGGTGGGAGAGGGAGATGTTCAGGAGCCGCCCTGCCCGCAGCACAATCCCATTGGCGGTTTTTTGTCCAGAAACCAGCCAATGGGAGCTGCTTGTTGGAATAACAGATAGCCAACAACCACCACACCCTGTGATCTTGGCTCAGTTATTCAATGAAGCACATGGCCAGACAAGCAGGCAGGCTGACTTGCTGGGAAATGTTTTAAGCTCTGCAAGCAGGCAGGCAAGTCTCCTGGCAACAGCCTGCTTCTGGCACCCCAGCCTTTTCCTGCCCCAACCCTCTGCCCCCCCACTTCAACATACACAAATCCTTTGTCCCCCCCCCTTACACCCATATCCCCTCGCCGATCTGGCACCCTAATCTACTGCCCCAGATCACAATACCCTCCCACCCTAGGTCACATCTCAAACCCCTTCACTCCAGTCCCCTGCCCTAGGTCACAACTGCCTCCTTCAGCAAAACTCCCTCCCAGACTCCAGTCTCCCTTCTGCACTCCAAATCCTTACTCCAAACTCCCTTCTGTATCCAACCTCCATTCCAGACCCCACATCTCCTCCATTATTATCATGGAAAAGTGTGGCCCTCCACCACTTTCCAAAATCTTGGAGCAGCCCCCCTCAAAAATTATTTCGTAACCCTGGCTAAACAAAACTTCATGAACAATAGTAAAAATGTAGACTAGTTACAGTATAGATAAATAATACTTGTAGTTCATGAGTCACTGTCTCAAGAGACTACACAATGGAATGTAGGGATATAAATCTTATATTGTTTTTCATTTTGTATGGGTATATTAGTCACAAGGGCCAATAAAAAATTGTTCATAGTCTTGGATATTTGGCTTGTGCTACTTTATGCCAAAGTACCTTATCTTATTTAAGGTCTCTCTTCACCTGTAAAGTCAAGTTGGGGGTGGGGGGCAAAGGAAGGAGAGAGAATTCTGAGTTTGTGATGGTATGATACAGGTGTTTCTAGTTCAGATGTTTTATGAGCTGTGACACTTATAAAATTCATATATATTTACATGAAGTTTTGGAAACATAAGCTTATATCTGAAATTCTAGAGAATGTATAGATGAATCTGGGTAGTTAAGCTAATGCAGTTTGAGTATTTCAGGCCTCCTCTTATGCATTTAGCTTAAAAGGAATTAACGTGACCTACTTATGTAGTCCACACAGGCAAAAGTGCCATTGGCTTTATGGCACGTAATATGATTAGGTCCATAAATTCTTTTATGTCCATTATGTTTTAAATGATCCAGTATTTGATTTGTTTAAAGAGTAACACCAGGTAAATCAACTTGTATTATTCTGAATCTTTTGAACCAAGACAGGGTTCTATTTCGCTTTTGCACACTCCAAATATTTATTATTTCATGTTACATTTACCAATTACTCTGCATACTGATGAGTGAATAATAGTCCTCAGGCTATACTTCACATGATTACCTTTGAAAGAGGGAAATTAATTTTATATGTAGTATGTAATAAAAGTGGCTATTCTAAGAAGGTCTTGTTTTAATTACAGAAAACTTACATTGTCGATATTTGCTCCTAATCATGATTTTGTTGTGCTTTTGCAGTAATGTTTATGAAATGCAGTTGAGAGTTAACTGTATGGCTACGTCTAGACTGGCCCCTTCTCCGGAAGAGGCATGCAAAGCAGGCAAGTCAGAATAGGGAAATCCGCGGGGGATTTAAATATCCCCCGCGGGATTTAAATAAACATGGCCGCCGCTTTTTTTCCGGCTTGGGGAAAAGCCGGAAAAGAGCGTCTAGACTGGATATTCCCTATTCTGCGGATTTCCCTATTCTGACTTGCCTGCTTTGCATGCCTCTTCCGGAGAAGGGGCCAGTCTAGACGTAGCCATACAGTTAACTCTCAACTGCATTTCATAAACATTACTGCAAAAGCACAACAAAATCATGATTAGGAGCAAATATCGACAATGTAAGTTTTCTGTAATTAAAACAAGACCTTCTTAGAATAGCCACTTTTATTACATACTACATATAAAATTAATTTCCCTCTTTCAAAGGTAATCATGTGAAGTATAGCCTGAGGACTATTATTCACTCATCAGTATGCAGAGTAATTGGTAAATGTAACATGAAATAATAAATATTTGGAGTGTGCAAAAGCGAAATAGAACCCTGTCTTGGTTCAAAAGATTCAGAATAATACAAGTTGATTTACCTGGTGTTACTCTTTAAACAAATCAAATACTGGATCATTTAAAACATAATGGACATAAAAGAATTTATGGACCTAATCATATTACGTGCCATAAAGCCAATGGCACTTTTGCCTGTGTGGACTACATAAGTAGGTCACGTTAATTCCTTTTAAGCTAAATGCATAAGAGGAGGCCTGAAATACTCAAACTGCATTAGCTTAACTACCCAGATTCATCTATACATTCTCTAGAATTTCAGATATAAGCTTATGTTTCCAAAACTTCATGTAAATATATATGAATTTTATAAGTGTCACAGCTCATAAAACATCTGAACTAGAAACACCTGTATCATACCATCACAAACTCAGAATTCTCTCTCCTTCCTTTGCCCCCCACCCCCAACTTGACTTTACAGGTGAAGAGAGACCTTAAATAAGATAAGGTACTTTGGCATAAAGTAGCACAAGCCAAATATCCAAGACTATGAACAATTTTTTATTGGCCCTTGTGAATAATATACCCATACAAAATGAAAAACAATATAAGATTTATATCCCTACATTCCATTGTGTAGTCTCTTGAGACAGTGACTCATGAACTACAAGTATTATTTATGTAACTTAAGTCACACTAACTAAAATAGACAATCCAGATGTCGCAATTAACTACAACAGATTTAGGAGAGAGAATCTCAAGCAATATTTACTCCAAAACAGAGTACCTTACAGCTAATGTTCTGCAGAATAGAACATACTTTAACTGCAGAAACAACTTAGAACTCGCAACTATCATTTAGCATTTGAGAGCGCGACGATAAAATTCCTACTTGACTGAAGTCATATGAAACTAAGATCATTAGAGTACATTCATTAATGATATTTTAGGTTAATCCTGCACTGGCAAACGAACAGGAAGATTCCTGCACAGAACTCATTGAAGGACAGGCCTCAGTATGTTACTTATAACATATATAAGCCTGAATTTTGCAAATACTTTTTAAAAGTGAAGGATATTATCTGTATGAAGCTCTTTGCTAACTGCTACCAAAGGGATTATTTACATGTTCATTATTTAAATAAAGGATCAAAGATGGGGAAAAAACTTGCCAATTTCTCCTATTATGAATGCATTACAACCCTGGGAAACCAACACTTAAAAAAAAAGAATGTGTACAGTGTTATATCTGTACGTGGTAGTTTACAGCAGATAACACACACCCATAAATAAAATATATAATATGTAGGTCAAGTACCACAGATATTTAAACATGCAATTTTATTCATGTGATGAGTAATGAATGAATTAATTTTATTCATGTGATGAGTAATGAATTAATGTTCCCCAGATTGGATGCTTTATCTCATGTAAAGTGCTCATATGTGTATGTGCTTGTAGAATCGAATTCTACAAAATTAAGACCTTTCCAGGCTCTGATCCTGTGATGATTTCTGCCAGGATAGGCACATACAGCCCTGCAATGACTTCAAGAGGGAGAAACTGAATACACAGTCAAATGTGGTAAATACACTAACAATTGTTATTCTAGGGTGGCCAAAACTGTGAGGTCAGTGTCCTTTCCATTCTAAATCACCTCCTCGCACATCAAGTACAAGGGGCATCATCACAACACGGCGGATCTGCATTCAAATGTACGTTTTGTAAGAGTCGACAGGCAATGACCTTTGCTCCAGTTTTGTGTCTCGCTGTAAAAACAAAGGGGGGGGGGGGTAGCTGCGCGCAGTGGGCACGGCCCCCGGCTCGTCACTTACACTATCCCGTGCTCCCCCCACGGCTCCTCCCGCACACACACAGCAGGGCCGCACACCCCCTCCCACGAGGCAGGAGTCGGGGCAGCAAGTTCACAGGGCAGAAGAGGAAAGTGCTCGGGGCAGGGCGACTGACTACAGCTCCAGCCTGTCGCCCCCAGCCCCCGGCCCAGCAAAGCCTCCGTTACCTCGGCTGGAGAGCGAGCAGAGAGGCAGCGGCATGTTGCCCGCCGGGCGCTCCCGGGGCAGCCTCCCTCAGGGACTGGAACGGGTCCCTCGGGCCCCCCTGCCCGCTACGCGCTGGCCCCGAGCGCCCGGGCTCCCCGCGCTGCCTTCCCCGAGCCCGCCAGCCGCTGCTCCACATACACACACGCAGCCGCGGCCAGCTGCACTCGCTGCTCACACCCGCACCTCGCTGCCCCGTCCCCTCCCCAGCGCGCCTGCGCGCCAGCCAGGCAACCTGCCGGGAAACGGAGTTCTCTCCTCTCCCGAGCAACGGCCAGCCCAACGAGGGACTACAACTCCCAGAATGCCCTGCAGAAGGTGCGGCGCTGGCCGGCCCTAGACTGGGGAAGGGCTGAATCCCGTGTGCACTGCGGGTGGAGAAAACCATTTCTCCCAGCATGCAGTGCGGCTATCACCGGGCGAACCCCTGCTCTCGAGACAGGGCCACACTGCATGCTGGGAGTAGTAGTTCCCGTTGAGTGGCACTGCATGTCGGGCTATTTTGCGTACCATTTTACCGAGCCCCTTCCGGCTCAGGAAGAGGTACGGCCTCCGACCGGAAGTCGGGGATATGCTCCATCCGAGAGGGTGGGGTCGTCCCAGGTCCCGGTTCCGCCCCTCCACTGGTGGGCGTGGCTAGCGAGTTTCGCGCGCGCTGCAAAGCCGGTTGCCTTGGCAGGGGCGTTTGGCGGCCGCTCGGAGGCCGAGGCGCGGAGCATGGCCGAGGCGGGGCCGGTTCAGCCCGTGAGCCCCGCCGCGCCCCAGCCCCAGGGGGTTTCCTCTGGCGCCGCCGGGCCCGGGAGGAGCCGGAGCAGCAGCCAGGGGGAGCGGCCGCAGGAGCAGCTGACTGACCCGCGGGAGCTGCTGGAGGAGGTGGAGATGCAGATCGATGACGTGAGTCTGCCCCGTGCGGGTCGGAGCCAGGTGTAAGCCCCGCCGCCGTGTGGGGGGCTCGTCGGGGCCAGTTTCCCCTCTTAGAGCCACCTAAAGCCTTGGCAGTCGGATTCAGTGTTTACATGGGGGTGGGCGGGGAAATCAGATCTCCCTCCAGCCTGTGGAGACAAGGACTGATTGAAGAATCATTAGTCAGACCCTTGGTCTGAGCGCGGGGGACCCCTCCACCCCCACCCAGTAACCGGCCAGCATGAGACAAACGCCAGACCGGCTGCATGGGTGAACACCCCCCTGTGCATTCCCTAGGGATGCTGTGAAGGCGAAAACTGTTATGGGGCTAAAGAAAGAATTGGATAAATGAGTGGATGGTAGGTCCACCAATAGGTCGTAGCTAAGATGGTCGGGGATGCAACCCCCTGCTTTAAGTGTGTCTATTCTTAGATTGCTAGAAACAGGGATTAGGTACCTGACATTGATCACTATTGGAAGACAGGCCACGGGGATTGATGGAGTTTGTGTCTAACCCATTATGGTTGTTTTTACATTCTCATTGCAGGCGGCATTCTCACTAACAAAGATCCTGGAGGCAACATCTGCTGTGTCAGCTCAAGTAGAAGAGCTTGCAACCAAATGTTCAGAAAATGCCCGATTCCTTAAAACATGGCGGGATCTTCTGAAGGAAGGGTATGAATCTCTGAAACCCAGTGACTGACATAGCACAAACATACACGGGAGGAAATCTCAAGAAGGTACCGGAGAAGTTGAATCATCCCATAGCATTTTCATTTTGTTGCCCTTGCCTTGCAGTGCCAGGACTTCGCTCTGAGTCAGGCAGGGCTGAGGATCATCTATGTAAATGAAGACTTTAACAACTTTTTGTGCCTTTAAAAAAAAAAAAGTGTGTGTTTTGATAGCTTAACAGGACTTTTCATCGACTATCCCCTTTCAAGGAAATGTATCATCCTGTGCACAAGCTGTTTTTAGGAAAAAATGCCTGTTACTGGTGCATGCATGGAACACCCTTCATAATCTGTTGATAATACAATAGACTGTTTTACTTTAGCTTGGAAACAGGGACTAGGGATGTAAGCGAGTAGTGGAATACTTGACTCTTCTACTTACATTCCCTTCCTGCAAGGACCGGAGACAAGCCAGCTGGACTGGGAGCGGCTCAGCTCTCTGCCCATCCCACGCTCCCGAGAACCTCTCTCATGTCCAGCAGGCAGGGAAGGGGCCAGGGACTGAGGACCAAACCCGGGTGGAGTGTTGTGGCCAGACAAGCTCAATGTTCCTAGGCTGAGCTCAGGGAGATGCAGCTTGCCTCCCTGGCTGGGCTGGCGGTGCTTTGTGTACAGGTCTCCCGTAGCAAGTTGGACTGATGCCGCTGGCAGTGCTGTGCGGTGCTCTGAGCTTGGCAGGCAGGGCTTGAGGAGCCCAACCACAACTTCCGGGCATCTGGGAGGACGTGTGGCTGGAGCGAGCGCAGGTTGGGTGCTGAGTGGTGTACACTGGCAGCGGCAGCCACCTAAGCTCAGGGGCAGGAACTGGAGCTTAACTGTTGCTGGGGCTTCATCCCAGGCAGGTGGGCAGGTGCTGTGTGGATTGGCCTGGGCGTGCTGCAGCCTGAAGGGGCAGAGCCGGCAAACTGCTGAGCGGGGCTTCTGCAAGTGCAGTCAGTGCTGGGCTTGCGGCCCAGCCTCCACTGTCCACCCGCCCTGGTCCTGCAATTCCTGGCCAGCTCTGTGCAGCCCGTGCAGTGAGTTGGGCAGCTGAATAGGCAGATTAAGCTCCCCTTGCTGACCCAGCATTGCGTTTCTAGAGCCCAGCCAGCCCGCCCAGGGTTACTGCAGCCCTTTGGGTTCCCCTCCTGGTTGCGGGATGTGTGCAGCGGGCAGCACTTGCTGTGGTGCCCCCTGCAACCGACAGGGCCCGGATGGGAAGGCGACGAAGGCGTTAAATGAGATGCACTGGGAAGCCACATCACAAATCAAATCCACTCGTGGGGTGCCTCTTGCCGGGCTTGCCCCGCGCATTTCGCTGCACTTGGGGCTGACCATGGACAGGTACTGCTGGACCCGGCATGAGCCAGGACTGAGCCAGCCTGGGTCAGGACTGGCTCACGCTGGGTCCAGGAGCTACCTCCGCTGCAGCTCTGCAGTTTAAATGCAATAGGAGCCGGGCTGTCTACGTGCTTGGCTCTTACTACATTTAAACCATGGTAAGCTACTGCATACTTCCAGCCTTATTGACTAATCATGTAGTTGATAGAAATTCTATAGACTCCATGATTAGCTGATCACTCTTTCTTTACATCCCTAATGGGGAGGGACCAAGTTTGGACTTTAAACTGTTGGTTTCCTTGTAGTTTCATTGGTTAGGAAGTACATATGAAGTGTACTAAATGTTACACTTGTGTTCAGGTACTACACACAGGGAAGATACATGATACCTCTCTAATTGACCACCATGGTTCTGTAAACCAAGAATGCTCCAGTTTTGGGCTCTATTTTTCTTAATCCTCTTCTTTCAGGAATGTTTATAAGCTTGTCACAGTCAAAATAAGTCTTTAAAAAAAATCTTGATCAAATGAGACCAGTGTTCTCTTTAATTTTTTCCACCCCTGAGTGGAATGAATTTTCTCATGTGCACCAATATGAGTCAAAGTACAAGAATGTGAGCACCCCAACTGTAGGTGCAGTATCTGGGGTGGATGGAGGTTGAGGGACTCGGGGCTGGGACCATGTTTCCTCTGATTTTGTCCATCTACATGAGGAATGTTATGTGTTATAAATTTTGTTATGTGCACTGAGACCTGAACATATGTGCACACTAGTAGAAATGCATGCTGCTGGCTCTGAGTGCTCTGCTAATCAGGTGGGTGGCATTTGAATATCTCCTTGGCAGCTGCCCAAGCACTTGACTTATAGGAAATACTGGCTGGGATAAAGGGTTGGGTGCAAGGGCTTTGGCTGAGGTGCAGGCTTTGGAATGAGGCTGGGCATGATGGGTATGGAGAGCAGGAAGGGCACTCCATGTTTGGGAAGGGGTTTTAGGTTGGAGGTTCGAGTGCAGGAGGAGGTACAGGCTCTGGGCTGGGAGTATGGGTTTTGGGATGCAGGAGGTTGCTCAGGGCTGAAGGGAGGCTTAAGGTAAAGCAGGGGCTTAGATTTTCCTAGGCATCTCCCTGCTAGGGACAGTGAGAAGGGACTCTTTTCCCCAGCCTCAGCAGCTCTGTATTGGGGCCCATGGAGAGGGGTGCCTGTCTGCTATCCCTGGCAGCTCCATGCTGGGGCCCATAGAGAGGGGCATTTCTCTGCTGTCTTTGGAAGCTCCATGCTGGAGCTGACAGAGAGGGGCATCTCTCTCTGTCCCTGGCAGTTTCAGGGGTCAAAGAGAGATGGTTCTCTCTGCTTTAGTGCTACGTCTCTACGTGAAGCTTAATAGTAAATTGTGCAGCTATGTAATTTAGAGGGAACTTAGAACTAGACTATTTGTGCAGCTCTTTCTGCCCTTACTTATACCTATACAAACTTCATCCTTACTGTGCAATTTAACAGGAGATTAATATAGATGGAACTAAGTCTAGAACTTGGTCTGTCACTTAAGAGTATAGCCCAGCTCCTTCTCTACAGTGACAATCATCTTAGCCATTTTTTAATACATAGTTGCATTTTTACAGATTTTAACATTTCAAACCCTTCTACAGCTGATCTTTTTATGTATTTCAGTTACTAAACTCTATTTATAGTGCCTTATTGTATCCTTAAACTATATATTTTCTTATTATATAAGCTCAGCTGTATTATGTATTAAAAAGTTCATTTACTTTTTGAAATATACCTTTCAGTTTCGATGGCACTTGTGCTAATTCTCCATATACTGTAATCTTTGAGATAATATGCTATTTTAGAACTTGTTGTGCATGCCTCCCATTTAATTGGCCATAGGGCTGTGATTCAAACCTTATAATCTTGCATACCAATGTAAACCGGAACCTACTATATAAAAGATCTCTAATTTGTGGTAAATATTAGGGATGTAAAATCCCTTTTAATTAGTTAACCAGTTAAACTTCATTTAACCGGTTAATCAATTAAATGGAGGTGGGGAGAGGGGGGCCGCTGCAGCTGGGCTGGAGTAACTCTCGCCTGTGGTGGGCCCTGTGAGGTTGGAGCAGGTCCCACCAATTAACAGTAACCAGTAAGCCTCACCCGTTAACCCTTCACATACCTAGTAAATACCTGGATCATAGTTACTGTTCCCAGAAATGCTTGAAAAAAGCAGTACTGTAGCTTGCCAACTCAGTTCCGAAAAGTGTAGTGGTGTGCCATGACTGAGAAGTTATTGATTGCTATTTCTAGACGCCCTACTCTTCAAGAAAATCTTACTTTTTTACCTAAAGAATAAAAGCAATTAGAACAACTATTCAACAGATAATTACTGCAGCTTTTCTCTTCCATCTGTCAGCGTAAAGAAGGCTGTCAGTATTGTTTAGCTACTGAATTTGATGCTTTCAAAGTGGAGTAAAGGTCATGTTAGACATTCTGCATTATACAGAGTATTAAGTGAAGATGTAAAATGAAATATGGGGTGTTTACTGTTTTCATCAAAAGGAAAACAATCTGTTTGATCCACAGGTAAATCTTTATTCTAAATAAATCAATATATACAGTAGTGGAAATATGGTACACATCTGCTCTGTATTTGATTCTAACATATTCCAAAGCTTTGTAAACAGTAATGTGTGAGTCACACTATAGTCTACTTCTTGTATCTTTTAAGAAGTTGAGTGCAAACATTAAAAATACCTTTTTGCTTTTTTTAACAAAGCTTCAAAGTGTAAATGCAGAAAAGCATTTCACCAGCTGTGTCATCTTGGGAACTCAGCTGGCCACAAACCAGTTACTGAAAGTCTCCTTACTCAGTACTCCTTTCTTTCATTATTTAAAAAAGTGCCTTAAAAATCAAACCTGACATACATATACAGAAGAATCTGCTTGATTGCTCCACTTGAAATCCCCCAAAACATAGCTCAACATTATATCTTTTTAAAGTATTCCTAAATCTGAATAATTTTGTGTGTCCAGGGCCCTCGGCTTGATATGAGTAGTTCTTCAGAAAAATACTGCAAATGACTAAAGTTTAGGAAGCTGCATAGCCATTCAGAGTGAACTTTTATATTGCTAGCAATCTGGTCATCTAACAATTGAATGCATATGAATTACATTTTAGAACTTAGAAAAGGTACAAATTGATTGTCTTAATCTTTTTGACTTACCTGCCCATCAAAATGAAAAAATAAATTGGACTGCTAGTGGAATTTTATTAGCAAAAATATTTTTTCCTATGGCTACTACTCCCTAAGGTTCTTCAAAAATGGATGTAATGTTAAGTTCAATCAGTTGTCCTTTTCTGATTTGACTTCTTGGCCATCACTGGTGTGAATCAATGTTACAGCTGTTCCCTTTTTCCTTACTGCTATAAAACAGAAAGTCCATATCTGAAGATGACTGTGCACATTTTACTATGACTGTTCAAAACACATATTTATCTGTATAAATTCAGTCTTGTGGAGTGTATGGTTACTGATGTTTCAGAGGAGTCTGTATAAATTGCAGGCTTTGTTAAGTCCGTTGTGTTCTCTTTCATTGGCCACATCTCTACCCAGATAAATGAGGGGCCGTACATTTTCTGACTGCTTTTGCTTCCTATGGATCTTCCTTGTTTGTAATTATACCAGACCCGATGAATCATTTCTTTGAAAGGTCGCGTGGTGAGAGTGTAGAGAAGAGGATTCAAAGCACTATTTATGGGCAATATAAAAATCACCACCCAGGAGGTTATAGTACCTTGAGGGGGGGAAAATAAATTAAAATATTCAAAAGTGTATGTATTCAATTACATTGTATTGGTATATAGTCTCTTTATGTATCATCATATATATACATTTTTCCTGCTGCACAACAGAATGACATCATCAGGCTCGAGAAGGGGGTTGGTGAGCATAGCAAGCAGGGTACGGCCCTCTAGTACTAGTTGAAAACTGTGTACACATATTAACTGGTACCTTCACGGTGACCTTTGAGGTAGATGAATATTATTCCATTTTACAGTATAGGGAATCAGAGGTAGAGTGTTAAAGGGACCTGTCTAAGCTCACCCAGCCATGGCACTGGCAGAGCTGTAGTGTGATTTCTGGATTTCCTGACTGTCTTTTGCTTATTCCTTCAAATGTCACTATGCCTACTTCTAACAATACTTTCATGCAGAATTACATTTTCTTGTGTAGGAGGAGACTTGCACTTCTTAAATTTCATTTTCTTACTAGAGTTGTGGGACATTTGTTACACACATTTTTTGTCAGATATTTGATATTTAACTCTACACCTTTCAAAACATAAAGCCAACATACTTTTGTGGTGCTCGCTTTTCAGACAGGCAAGAATTTCTGACCAGGCCTCTCCTGTGCCATGTATGTACAATAGTTGTAATTTCTGAGCCTACTATTGCTGGTGGCACCCTTTATAGTAAATATGATATGCTATAAAAGTCCTATGTAAAAAGACATAAGTCAGTCTCTAACATGTTTTGAGCTCTTAGAACACTGAAGGGAAAAATGTAAGGTTTAGTATTTAAAATCTTGTGTGTTGTTGCTTGAACTTCTTATAGTTTCTGTATATGTGTGGGAAGAACATGAGCTCATATATTCCAAGGCCAGAAGAGACCACTGTGATCTTTTAATCTGATTTTCTGTATAACACAGGCCATAGAACTTCCTTATAATTCCTACTGTATATTGTATAGTAAAACATCCATTCTTGCTTTTAAAATTGCCACCCTTGGCAACTCTTTGTTAATTGTTCCAGAGTTTAATTGTAAAATTAATTTCTGCTTCTTATAGATCCTCCTTGTTTGTAATTGTATGAATATTATTTTGAAGTATTGATATTTATCAAGGAGATAACATCTTTTATTGGATCAACTTTAATTGGAGAGACAAGCTTTTGAGTGTACACAGAGCTCTTCTTCAGGTGACTGATTCAGCAATTTTCTATAATATCCTGGACGAACCTTAGTACATTAAGGTAAATCTTACTGAATTAAGTTGAACTCTTAGGAGTTCCCTGTATTTAAAAAAAAACACAAATGTGTATGTATTGTGGGATTGTGTAATATACTTAGGAGACATGAGTAATGTAAACTCTGGGTAGTGTGAGCTTCAGAGGACTTTTAAACTCCCCCCGCCTCTATGCAAAAGTCTAGGCTTTTGAAGCTTTGTCATGAGGAAGGGACCTTTTGTATCTGATTTTGTTACATAAGGACAAGATCAGTAGTCCACACTGTAAAAGTAGTTATTTTTCAGAATCGTGTGTATTTCTTCTGAGGACATGCTGTGAATTTGTAATCCTGTGGTGGTGTGAAAGACTGTTTGCTAGAACCCTTGAGTTAGGGTGATATGCAATAAGCTTATTAACATGTATAGATTTTGTTTTAATCTTTTTATTTGCCATGAATTTTTAAAAGAATAAATATACTTGCTTAGAGCTATGTAGTAACTATGCTGTCTATAGCCTCAGAGAGAAAAGCAAAGTAGATCTGCTTTGCATTTTTATCTAGGGAATATACTGTGTACACAGAGAACTGCAGCCTGGAAATGTGTGGCTCAATAGGGGGAGAGACATATATTTCCGCCTAAGAGGTGGAAGCCAAAGAGCCAGGTGCCCTTGCTGGACCACAGAGGGGGAATGCAGGTGCCTTGAACTGTGAAAATAGTACTTCAAATGGAACATTGTAGCGGTATAGAGAGATGCTCTTTTTGTGTAGTCTTGTAATGAGTTCAGACATCATCAATGTGGCTGTCACCATTGCCATAGGCTCAGAAATAGCAGTTGTAATTGAAACAGTATTTTTCAAATTTTGTCCATTGTGCAGTAATATGGTCATAAGCTTGTGAGCACTTATTGCTTTGACTAGAAAAAATAGAGGGTGGGGATATTTATGCTTTAACTGATACAGGATTATTTTGTGGTAGCACTTTAGCTTGTTTTTTGTACCTGACTTTCCAACAAACCATTTAATTGATTTTTTTTTTTAAATTTAGAAAAGAAACAAAGAACATACCTGGTATTTCTACCTGAAGTAAAGAGAGTAATTTCAAAATAAAGATGGGAATCCAGCATAATGCATCAGTAAAAACAATGAAGAAAAAGCGTTTAGCAAGGGTCATTTCTTTTTTAATATGATTCCGGATTTCAGTTGCTGTGATGGCTGTTCGGTGAACACTGTAAAACATACTTCCGTAGGAAAACACAATGATGATAAAAGCTGCCAAGTTTACACCTGTTTAAGAAGTTAAGAAATATTTTAAGACACGAATGGTTATTTCCATGCACACAACTTGCTGGCAACTAGTGCAGCTGGAATTCAGGTTGATAGAACATGGGCTGGACTTGACCCAGGACATGGAGATTAATACTCCTAATCATTAAGTATATTAATTAGCACTAAATAGTGAAGATTTGTCATCTGTACCATTTAGTGCATTGTATAGGTCTGTTCTCCTTGCTTTCTACTTGCTTTTTTTACTGCTCTGATAATCATCTACTGAGATGCATATATAACTCTTAATCCCTGTATTATTTGAGCACCTCATATCTACAAACGGATTTTCTGGTTATGACTCCCCTTTCAAGTCATTATTATCTCCATTTTACAGCTGGCTCACTGATGCACAGGCCAGATTAACTGACTTGCTCAAGGTCTCACGGTCAGTCTGTGGCTGATCCAGGAATTGAATATTTCATAAATCCTAGTGCAGTCCACAGTCCATTATACTGTCCATTAAACCCTAGCCTATCCCTAGGAAGATGTGACCTACACAGGGTTTGAGCCTGTAGCCTTTGTCTGATTAGCACACATTCTATCCAACTGTCCAGTAACTGGTCATCTCGCACATACAATCCTCAAACTAAGCAGAAAATGAGTAAACTTGTGTATAATACTGAATTTTTTTTAATGTACTTTAAAAAGTATATTTATAAATTTCTGGGTCTCATACTTTCGTAGTGGGCCCATTTTCAAACATCCCTAAATTAGGGATTTAAATGTAATTCTTGGATCAGTGTACTGATGGGCATAAGATAGACATTTAGATGACAAAAATAGGATCCAAGTATGGATTTGGGCATCCTAGTGAGGCTGCCATATTTGTTTGAAAATTGGGCTCCTTCTGTATTTCCAGTCAACATGCATAAAGGAAGAAACAGAATATACTCACCTAAAAAAATAACAACAGAATAAATCTGGCCTCCTGTACTTTCTGCCTGTTCTGAATGAAGAGGGAAACAGACCCCATTGGTACCATAGTAGTTTCTGAAAAATTCCTTGTGGCTCAGTGGAATAAAAGCAATCACAAAGCCAATAACCCAGATGAGAATCAAAATAGAAATTGTCCTGCATTTTCCTGGCTTCAAATACCTAAATGGGTAAACTATGCAGATGTACTTTTCCAGAGTCAGGTAAGTCAACAGTAAAACTGACACCTCTGTGGACAGAATGGCCAATGACCCCACCAATTGGCAGTGGATGCTGTCCATCCACAACTGAGCATGCTTGTTGTATTCTCCACGATATTTAAGGTCAAAGGCTCCAATCACTAATAAATATATTCCCATCAGACAGTCAGCACCTGTAAAAATAGAGGGAATAATTTGGTTTATATAGCTGAACTGTCCTTTATTTCACAGTCTATATAAATAATGTACTTGAATTTCTAAGGTTGTAAAATTCTCATTTTTAATGGATTTCAATGATATTTAGAGTGATTTTTTTTAAGTTCATGCAAAAAACCCAATCCTCCTTTTCTCCCCTAGACCCAGGAATCCCCAGCCCCCCTGCTCTAAAGCAAAGCCCTTCCGCTGCCCCACAGCCAGGCACTCCCAGCCCCCCCCAACCCAATCCCCCTTCCTACCCCCAGAGCCAGGTACCCCCACACTCTAACCCAATGCCTGGGTCCTGGAGCCACAGCCACATGCGTCTCCCTTTAGGCGCTGGGGCGCATGGGTAGAGCAGCTGGCCCTGAGCGGTCCAGGAGCACAGCTCAGAACAAGAGCTGCATTCCTTTAACCAAAGAGCTGCATGCGTCTCGAGAGCCGTGGGTTGGCCATCTACCCCCAGAGCCAGGTACCCCCACACTCTAACCCAATGCCTGGGTCCTGGAGCCACAGCCACATGCGTCTCCCTTTAGGCGCTGGGGCGCATGGGTAGAGCAGCTGGCCCTGAGCGGTCCAGGAGCACAGCTCAGAACAAGAGCTGCATTCCTTTAACCAAAGAGCTGCATGCGTCTCGAGAGCCGTGGGTTGGCCATCTCTGCACTAGTCGTTTGCATTCCTAGTTCCTTCACACTTTTTGAAGTATGAATTAGGGAATCCCTTGCTGAGCCACCTGAGCAATTCTCAGAAGTAAAACTGCAAAGCAAGGTCATATAATTTTGTGGAGGATTCCAATATTTTGAAATTTGGCTTAACTGTGATCTCAAACAAACGCATTTTTTTAAAATACTCTCAAATGGGAAAACCCTGGAGTCTGCAACTTCATGCCAGTACATGTGGCTGATGACCTGGAAGTGTGGACTGTGGAAACTTTGAGCCCCTTGGTTCAGGGTCTGTCCACTTAGCTGACTGCCTTCGAGCCACAGACACGGGAAAGTCACAGAGTTCCTCACTCCAGGGTAGTCTGCATGAGTGAGTGCCCCAGAGTCTGGAACCTGGAAGCAGACCTGGAGTCAGTCTGCCTGGCAGGCTGCTAAAGAGTCATGATCCTTGGAATCAGGGCTGGTAGTCAGGGCTCCAGTAGAACCACCCCTGCTTTCCATCAGACCTTTGTCAAAAATCAAACAGCTTCTGCAGAAGTTTGGATTTTGATGAATCGGCATTCTCCCGTGGAGAATTTCTGACCAGCCATAGAAGGCAGAAGCCCTCTGTTGCAGACCTCCTTGCATGCATCTGAAGGGGGACTGTACACTAATGTTCAAAAAGCATGAATCAGACACACCCATCTCCAAAACATGAGATTGGTTTATAAACTGAGGGTTGTGCACATTGCTTAATAACACATTTGAGATTCTTTTTATTTGTCATCTACTGTTTGAGTATGTAAGGTGCATTTGTTTCACGTTTGGTTTGCCATGTCTTTTTCTGCAATTATGAGTGCTAGAAACTCTTTTGTAAAATAACAGTTGAAATTACCATGCAATCTCTTTATTTTATTCAGTAGTTGGGGCTTTAAGGAAATTAAATATAATGAGACACGAGGAGGTTGTAAAAGAGTAATGCTGGAGGTGGGAGGGATAAGATTTTCCTTCTTCGAACCTCCTAGAAGGGGTTCTTGTATTTCCAGTATTTTGGACAAGCCAACTGTCAACTGACGGGGGCACAGCCAAACATGATTATGGATTCGATTCAAGACCGAGTCGATTAGGAATAGTTGCATTTATTAATCTCACTACATCACTATTATTATAGGCTTAATACTGCCAGATGGTTACACAGCTACTGCAAAGTGACTGATCAATAAGCATAAACAGTGCAATGCACAAAAATGAGCAACAGGCACTTGGAAATGCTTATGCCCCTTCACTCTGCGGGGAGTCCTATTCCTGTCGTCTTGCACCAGGCCACAGTGGACATGGCTCCAGCTGGGGAAATTCAGGGCCTCCTGTACCCTCCAAAGTTTAGGTCTCTGGTGAGACTCACTGGGCACGGGACTCCCTACACTAATTATACTACAGGGCTACATCTGCAATCCGCTTTCTTGTGCAGGAACATATGCAAATTTGCATACTTAATGAACTGCCATTTTGCGCAAGGGGCTTTTGCGCAAGAAGGAGCAGTCTACACTCTTGAAAAGCGGCAGAACAGCTATTGTGCAAGAGGGAGTTTTTGCGCAAGAAGGAGCAGTGTAGACTGCTTCTTGTGCAAAATGGCAGCTCATTAAGTATGGAAATGAGGTGTGGCGATATTCATCACCATGTCTCATTTGCATATGTTCTTGTGCAAGAGAGCACAATGTAGACGTAGCCTAGTTGTTTACGGGTGTGCGCGTACTGGCCCAATGCCATTCTTATCACTCTTATGAGCCAAGACCGAGGTCAAACCTGTTTACCGCTTAGTAGTTTCCCAGCTCAAGGCATGGGTTAAAGCTGATAAAGCCCTGCTGCAGTTTGTGTTTGCAGACTCCAATGCTATGTACTACTAGGATGGAAACTTCCATGCCATGCCCAAGTTGCAAAACCCACATATGACTTTTTATGTGAAACCAGCAAACCACAGTGTCCTGGAAAGTGAGAAATTTAGAAATGTTGCTATCCTGTTTTACATACAGTTGGCAATTACTTTCTAATGTGATTAATGTAATCTCATCAAATACCAAAGTTAAGGCAGACCCCTTTGTACTTAATTTATAATACATGGAGTGTTGTAGCTATGCTAGTCCCTGGATATCAGAGCAACAAGGTGGATGACGTAACATCTTATTGGACCAATGTCAGGTCCTGAAAGAGAGCACTGTGTAAGATCAAAAGGATGCCTCTCACACCCACAGAACGTGGTCCAATAAACTATATTGTCTCACTTACCTTGTCTCTCAGATACAGGCAGGAAATTCGTGATTACATTGACTTACAAAGTAGGTTGTCAATAACAATTGTTGGTTGTAAAATTTAAAATGAAGCTGATATTCAGGATCAGATTTTCAAATTCAGTCCCTCATTTGCCCAATCATTTGGTCATGTAAAGATCAGAATTTTCTCATGCAAACAGAATGGCTCATGCAAATCAGCCGCTTTTCCGGAAAAACTTGCCAGCTGTCTACACTGGCCGCTTGAATTTCCGCAAAAGCACTGACTTCCTACTGTAAGAAATCAGTGCTTCTTGTGGAAATACTATTCTGTTCCCGTTCAGGCAAAGGTCCCTTTTGCGCAAAGCTTTTGCGCAAAAGGGCCAGTGTAGACAGCTCAGATTTGTTTTCTGCAAAAAAGCCCTGGTTGCGAAAATGGCGATCGGGGCTTTTTTGCAGAAAAGCGCGTCTAGATTGGCACGGACGCTTTTCTGCAAAAAGTGCTTTTGCGGAAAAGCATCCGTGCCAATCTAGATGCTCTGTTCCGAAAATGCTTTTAACGGAAAACTTTTCCCTTAAAAGCATTTCCAGAAAATCATGCCAATCTAGATGCAGCCAATGTGTGTAAATTGAGTTGTTACAATGGCTGTGAAAATTGGATTGTTTTGAACACATCCTGTTGAAGTGCACAAGTTACCATGTGTTCGTATTTGTGTTAAAGTTGGATTAATGATCCTTTGAAAATCTGTGGCTCATTCCTTCTGTTATTGAAGACAGTAAGTTGGCCCTCAACTTTTATGGAAGTAATATCAAACAGTTGGCCTGCAGTGGTAACCCACTCTCTATAGCAACTTAAAGGTAGAATCCAACAGCCTTTGTATTGTTTAAATAATAGCATCCAATTATATTGGCTGAATTTTACAGGTTTTACCATCTATTGCTGTGGGTGTGTCACTGCTGAATTAAAATTTATACCAAACATACTAAAACCAGATTTTTATATTTGTTTGACACCCTTTTAATCAGGGGAATACTCACAGCAGAGAGACATTATTGACATGGCATGGAGCTTGTTCTCGGATCTGATGTAAGGTCGCATGCAGATGACAAAGATATTTCCAAAGCAAGTGACTGCAGAAACAACCCAGACAAACACTCTCTGTATAATGCTAGCTAAGAGATTCTCAAAGGATGAAATCCCATCTGTATTTGGCTTACAACTGCGTACATGAGGGGCATATCCACAATACTGAAATTTCTTAAAATATCTGGTTGAGGGGAAAATGAGAGAAAAATGTTTTACTCTGGTTATAAAATCAGTATATATTTTTCACAGTAATATAGGCATTTGTTAAACACCTAGTAAAGATCAAAAGCATAACATATTTTATAGTAATAGAAAATTAGTAATAAAGGATTGTGGGCATAATAGAAAACCCCCAAAAGAAATGCATAAATTCATTCATAGATTATAAAGCTAGAAGAGACCATTGTGATCATCTAGTCAGACTCTTGTATAATGTAGGGCATAGAACTTCCCGAAAATAATTTCTAAAGCACACGTGTTAGAGAAAATCATCCAATATTTATTCACAATTTGTCAGTGATGGACACTTCACCACTACATTGGCAATTTTTTCTGATGATTAATTACTCTCATTGTTAAAAACATAAGCCTTCTTTCTAGTCCGAATTTGAAATAAACTTCAAATTGTATAAAACCTGTCAGGATCTGAACTGATTAGTTATTTAATATTTGTACAGTGGTTTGATGATAAAAAGCACTAAGTATGTGTGCTAAATATTAGTAATAATAATATTTTTTTAAAGTAATTATTTGAATTGAATCCATAGTGCACGCTATAAAGGGATAGGATTGTGACAGAGTGCAGAGACATATGATGGTCCCCAGTAAGCTGGGAGTTAACTATCTCTTGCCCCTCTTCTGCTTTCTCTTGTTTAATTGCTCTTGTGAAGGCATATAAGAATGTCTGCAATAGGGATTTTAAATTTAGATTGATTAACTATTTGAATAGTTGATGGAATTTCCATCAACTATTTGATTAGTCTATAAGGGTGCCTCTGCCTTTGAACTGTAGCAAGAGTCCTATCGGGCTCTTGCTACAGTTAAAAAATGGAAGCCCCACAGGAAGCACTGGGCTTCTGCTTTTGAACTGTAGCAAGAGCAGAAGCCCAGCAGGGAGTGCTGGGCCAGGAGGGACTCTCCCATTCCCTGCGGGGATCTTGTACATTTCAAAAGCAGAATCGCAGCTAGAGGCAGTGTGAGCGGAGACTGAGATATTGACCCAGCTACTGAGTTAGGTTTTTAGCCTCTGTTTTAGTTACAACAGGTTTTTAGATCTATTCTGATAAAGGTTTGACTCATCCTTGCTATTTCTTCATCAGCTGAAAGTGATAGTGTACATTTTGAGAGCTACAGAAACATTATTAATAATGGTCTATCATAAAAACTATGCATATACTAGCATACTTAACCTGGTATTATCAATATTATTTTAGATTAGCATTTTTCAAACTTGGGTCATAGGGCCACCAGGATAAACCACTGGAAGGTCCGTGCTGCTTTGTTTTTGTGAACGTGTTCATAGTCATGGAGCTTCGCAGCTCCCCTTTGCTGGAAATGGTGAACCATAGCTGCAAGACCAATAAACCAATCAGCATGCGCCAGCTAACGGCTTATCCTGGAGTTGCTGCGACCCAAGTTTGAAAAATGCTTTAGATTATGTATACATCAATAAGCAAAGGTAGACAGAGTCAATGTACTATATCTGTTTACAAATAACTGTACTTTGCTGTGTAGGAGATTTAATAATGATAACTTTATCATTATGTTAAACAACAAAACCCTACCTGTCTCTCTCTCAATGCACTCTCAATTTACATAACATCATCAATTGGTTTTTCAACTACTCACTAGCCAGAGAGAGAGTGGCAAGTTTTCATACATTTCTGTTTTTAAATCTTATATACTTTGTCAAGTTAAAATCCAAATACAGGGAGGAAAACTGGAGTGATATACTTACATGTGGGAGAGATTTCTAAGTGGTCTGAACATCCTTCTTTGGATATTTGTAATTTCAATGCCCTCCAGGCTGCTATAACCAATATACTCACAATCAAAAAAGGTAACATAAAATCAGTGGGAAAAAGAACAACAGGCTTAGTATGGGCATAATTGTATAACTGTGATATGAAACTACAGAGGAAAGAGATTTGCAATGTATGATGTGCCTTTCATCAGAGAGGATCCAAAGCACTTCACTAGTTATAGTAATCACCAATGGAATTTACTCTGGTACAAAGCACCAAGAGTGAAGAAAATCACAGGATCATAGAAATGTAGGACTGTCCGGGTACATTTACGCAACAAGTCTAAACTCGAAATAAGCTATTTAGACTTTAGCTACGCAATTATTATCATAGCTCAAATTGCGTAGCTTACTTTGACTTATGGCGTGGTCTACATACTAGTTATTTTGAAATAGAGTATTCTTACCCTGACTTTCCTTACTCCTCATGAAATGAGGTTTACAGAAGTTGGAGTATTTTGAATTTATTTCAAAATAATGGGCTTGCTGTGTAAAAGCACACTACATTATTTCAGAATGTATGTAGACATAGTCACAGGGACCTGAGAAGTCATCAAGTCCAGCTCCCTACACTGAGACAGGATCATGATCAACCTAGACCATTCTTGACAGGTGTTTGTCTAAGCTAGACTTAAAAACATACAATGATAGGGATTCCACAGCCTCCTTGAAAGCCCATTCAATAATTTAACTTATTTGGTAGCTACATATTAGGAATGGTTCAGAAAACCTGACCTCTGAGGAAAAGTTATAAGATGGGGCATGTTTTGTCTTGAGTAAAGAAGCCTGAAGTGAGGGGAACCTGATAAATCTTCCAATATGGTAAGGATTGTTATAAAACTCTATGGTCCCCTTCTCTCCTCCCTCTGCATTTAATGTTTGGATAGTCTCATCCATAAACACAAATTCAACTATCATTTCTGCAGACAACTCACAGATTTACTGCTTTACTCCAAACCTGTCTCCTGTCCAGACAAAATCTCATCGTTGATGCTTAACCATTAGTTCTGGCTCAAAAAGCTAAAACAGAGTTATTAATTTGTCCCTTCAATCCCACCTTTCTCAATCACCATGGACAATGCTACTGTCCTTCTTATCACTCGGCCTATAATCTGGGCATCACCTTTCACTTCCCCCTAGGTCCTTACATCCTACATTTTATTAATTCCTTTGGCATAATATCTTTAAATATAGTTTATTTATCACTGGAGTATGGAGTTCCCTGTGGAAATTCTTTCACCGCATATAAATGATTAAATACATACTGAAACAACAAAGGACTAGAATTTGGGTCTTCTACATTCAAGATGAGTGATTCTCTAGTTCAGGGATAAAGACAATCACATTTGCTTTGTGGCCCAAGGATTATTTAATCATTTATACACAGCAGAACAGCTTCAACAGGAGAAACTGAGAATAATCTGCTCCAAAATCCTTATTCCTCAGCAATTAAGCATTCATCTGAAAAATGTGTGACCTATATTCAGATCTGTTCTCCACAACCAGCAGGGTTGGGGAAGTGAAGTGTATCTCCCATATATCAGTGAGATATACCATATACCTTAATCAGTGAGCTAAATGTTAAAAGGGTGGGTCATATTCACAAACAAATTTAGTTGACTAACTACAGGAGAGGGCTCATGGCAGGAAATCCCAGGCAGAGAGAAACACCTTCCTACTGCTTGAAGTTAGACACCGAAGGACTTGACCACATAATTATTTAGTGCACAACAAACTGGGGGTGTAAATCTACAGCATAAACATCTGCAGTGCATTAAGTAGCTCTGTGGACTCTGCTACCATTTCAAGTTCCATTTCACTGTGCACTAGGGAACTTTTAATATGTGCCAGAACTATTCATACAGTGTGACGCACTAGTATGCTATAGATTTATACCCAGCTTGAGGCACACCAACTATTCATCTAGAAAAGTCCATTATAACAGTGGAATTAATTTCATCCTCTCTGATTATTTTTATATAATATTGGACTGGTCTCTTTTTGTGCTTCAAAATTTCTCCCCCTACTCCTCAAAAGAAGCTGGAGATCTCACGAAGAAATAGGAATATTGTCAGTAATATTTCTGGGGGGCGCACATCTTTCAAGGACACAGCAATTACAAGAGAGGAATAGAGGCTCAAAGTATTTCAGCTATGACACGTGTTCTGGAGACATAGTTTTTCTGAACAAAATTAAAAAGAAAATATCCATATCACATATATCGAAAGGTCTAAATACTCACAGGGATTTGAGGTTTAACAAGTAATCAAACTGGTCTGTTTGTATTTTCTGTATTGGGTTATATGAAAGGTTTCTGTAAATAAAAAGAGTGATATATAGTACTGAACAAAGTTCCTAAAGCTTGTTCTAATGATGAAGTCTACCCATGTTATCTCTTTGTTTTTAATTTCTATAGTAATGACTCATAATAATGGCAGTTATAATTGTAAATAGTAATATTCCTCTACCTGACAACAAGAACAGAGTGATGCTTCACAGGCATGGTGTTAACAGAAGATAGAATCATAGAATCATAGAATAATAGGACTGGAAGGGACCTCGAGAGGTCATCGAGTCCAGCCCCCCACCCTCAAGGCAGGATCAAGCTCCGTCTACACCATCCCTGACAGATGTCTATCTAACCTGTTCTTAAATATCTCCAGAGAGAGAGATTCCACCACCTCCCTTGGCAATTTATTCCAATATTTGACCACCCTGACAGTTAGGAATTTTTTCCTAATGTCCAATCTAAACCTCCCCTGCTGTACTTTAAGCCCATTACTCCTTGTCCTGTCCTCAGAAACCAAGAGGAACAAATTTTCGCCTTCCTCCTTGTGACACCCTTTTAGATATTTGAAAACCGCTATCATGTCCCCCCTTAATCTTCTTTTTTCCAAACTAAACAAGCCCAGTTCATGAAGCCTGGCTTCATAGGTCATGTTCTATAAACCTTTAATCATTCTTGTCGCTCTTCTCTGTACCCTTTCCAATTTCTCCACATCTTTCTTGAAATGTGGCGCCCAGAACTGGACACAGTACTCCAGCTGAGGCCTAACTAGTGCAGAGTAGAGCGGTAGAATGACTTCACAAGTTTTGCTTACAACACACCTGTTGATACAACCTAGAATCATATTTGCTTTTTTTGCAACAGCATCACACTGTTGACTCATATTCAACTTGTGGTCCACTATGACCCCTAGATCCCTTTCCGCCATGCTCCTTCCTAGACAGTCGCTTCCCATCTTGTATGTATGGAACTGATTGTTCCTTCCTAAGTGGAGCACTTTGCATTTCTCTCTATTAAACTTCATCCTGTTTACCTCTGACCATTTCTCTAACATGCTAAGGTCATTTTGAATTATGTCCCTATCCTCCAAAGAAGTTGCAACCCCACCCAGCTTGGTATCATCTGCAAACTTAATAAGCGTACTCTCTATCCCAATATCTACATCGTTAATGAAGATATTGAACAGTACGGGTCCCAAAACAGACCCTTGAGGAACTCCACTTGTTATCCCCTTCCAGCAGGATTTAGCACCGTTAACAACTCTCTGACTACGGTTATCCAGCCAATTATGCACCCATCTTATCGTGGCCCTATCTAAGTTATATTTGCCTAGTTTATCAATAAGAATATCATGCGAGACCGTATCAAATGCCTTACTAAAGTCTAGGTATATAACATCCACCGCTTCTCCCTTATCCACAAGGCTCGTTATCTTATCAAAGATGTTTTATGCAGTGTTTTTAATTAGGAACATATTTTAGTTGCTAAATTTTACATTCTTTATTTATTTAAAAAAGCCCCCAAAGAATTCATCATTACACAAATCCCAACCTTGTTACATTTTCCTTGCACAAAAAGCAAAATATGTTCTTTCAGCCTACATTACTTCCATTTCAGATTAAGGCAAACAAAGATAGGGCCTGATCCCACAAACATGCTTTTTGATGTGATACTGGATATAGTGATTGGCCCAGCTGAAATCAGGAGTCAGTGAAGTCAAAGGAACAGTCTCATGTTAAGAAATGAGTTTTACCATGAAAGCTCATGATATATATTCGTTAGTCGCTAAGGTGCCAAAGGACTGCTCATTATTTTTAAAATTACAGACTAATTCGGCTACCCTTCTGAGACTTTTTTCTCATGATAGATATCATAATGTCCAACAGCAGTGTTTGTAGATTTGAGTACTGAAATCTAACAAATATGAACCCTTCACCAGGAAGAATGAAGTGTGTTTTTTCCTTTCTTTTTGTGGTAACTTCTTTCTTGAACTGTGTTGCAGCTATACCAGGGGTTCCCAAACTTTTTGACACGGGACCAGTAAAACCATTCATGAGCTTTTGGAGGACCAGTAACATTCATTTTCATATTTGCATATTCATTAAGCAAATGATGAATATTCAAATACGTTGTTTCTGGTCCTCCCAAAGCCCCTAATGCCAGCATTAGCAAAGCTTTTGATACAGTCACCCACAATATTCTTGCCAGCAAGTTAAAGGAATATGGATTGGATAAATGGACTGTAAGATGGATAGAAAGCTGGCTAGATCAGGGTTTCCCAAACTTTTTACTTTAGTTGGAACCTGGTTTTTTTTAGTACTGTTTTTTGCAGCCCAAAAATATAAACACATATAAAAAAGAATGAAAAATGAATACATTTTCAGTTTTCACCCTGCTGCATCCTCTACCCAGCTTGGGCCAGGCAGGGCTTGGGGGACCCGGCGTCGCATGAGCACTCCAGGAGGTGGGAGCAGGAGCAGACTGGGGGTAGGGTAGCTGTCTAGGAGGGAGGGTGCAAGGAAGGGCAGGGTTGCCAGGTGTCCGGTTTTGTACCGGACAATCTGGTATTTGAGGGTTTTGTCTGAGAAACAAATTGAGAAATTACCAGAAGTCTGTCGGGACCCACAGTTTGAGAAACGCTGGTTTAATCTTTAGTCTGTTCTTGACGTTATTGTGAAGGTTCGTACACCACACCCTCCGGGGCAGATTTTCTAAGACCAGACTTTTAACGGTATTTAGACACCTAAGTGACCTAGAAGTTCATGTCTCGTTGACTTCAGCTTACATGGAGGCAAAATGGAATCCCCAGGCAGACTCACCCTTCTGCTAGGGTCTGTAGGGTCTGCATGTGCCCAGGTCAGTCCCGCTCTCCCCTCCCTTCTCCTCCTGATCTCCCAGTCAAGCCCTGCTGCTCCTGTCCAGCCCTGCTTCTGGCAGCCAGTTCCCCCGCGTCCCCTACCGATCTCCTCTGGTCAGCCCCGCTCCCCTCAACAACCCCCCGACCAGCCCCGCTGCCCCCATCCAGCCATGCTTCCAGTGGCT